TCCAAGTACCCGTGTAGCTGAGTACCATGAACTGGATGTTAGGGAACAAATTTCCTGGGTGACCCATTCTAAAGCACAGTACCTAGTGACTTTCAAGCAAAGTCTTCACTTTTGTAATTTTGAGCTTGTGAGGGATGGGGCCTTGCTAGTTCCTCACATGCCCTCAAGGCATTTTTTTTTCTATTGTCTTGATACAAAGTACTTGGCTTCCTTCTAATGCTAATCTTTTTAGCAACCAAACTCTCTTTTACTTAGTCTTTGTGGGAAAATTCTTTCTAGCAAAACTGAAAGCTTTTTAAATGGGATTTTTGCTCCTGTTTCTCGCAGTAGGTACATCTGAAAACACCAATCAGTATACATGCCACAGCCTGAAAATTACGCTGTCTTGAAATTTACTCTGCCAGATTAATTAGTCCACTGCTGCTAATATTAGTCTCCCAGGAAGGCCTCAGGACATGAGCAAAATGCAGACAAATTTTCCATCAGAGCATAACACATATGGTCACTACCCTAACTGCCAATGGAGTCCTTCTTCGCAACTGCAACCTCTCAAGCCTGGCCTTCATGTTCTGCTTTTCTGTCAGCATTCTGTTCTTATGAGCTCTGGTCACAGTTTCCCATCAGCGTTGGCTTACAGCATACTAGGGCTGCTTCTGGAACTAGCAACTCTGAACCTTTCCAAACTCCTCCCAAGAACCAGCTGCAAAAGCTTCTGCACCATGTGGTCAGGCTGTGGCACAGCAATGACCTAACCCCATTTTGACACACTTACCCATTTGTTCTTGTCTGAAGCAGTACTAGAAGTCCTCTTTTATGTCTTTATTTGCACTATCATGGTTACCTCAATGTCCTGAATAGATTCAAAATGTTTACCTTTCATGGTCATTTTGATTTTAGAGTAGAGCCAGAAGTTACATGGTGCCGGGATAGGTGAATACGGGGGAGGAGGACACACTGATGTTTCTGTCCTTCTTTTGGATCACACTTGGCAGCAGCATTCACTGTAGTTTTGATCATACCTCATAAAGACACAGTATAAGTCTGTTTGAAGTAGGGGTTATTCTGAGAGGGCTTAATGAATGTGTCTTTTACTCTAGGAAATTTAAAAAATTTAAACATTTACCCTATATTTTGACCACTCCTTGTACATATAAGAGAAATCATAGTATATATAGCTTTGCATACTACCCACATTTCAGACATCTGAAGAACATATCCTGCAGATCAGGGGGGCTACTGTGATTAGGACTAGCTTTGACGAACCTTAATTCATCTGCCAGGACAGATGGAAGAATTCACCATTCTAGGCTTTATTGCACTCTTTATTTGAACAATATTGGAGTTTCTAAAATCAAGGAATAAAAGGGAACAACTACTGGGAAAGCATTCAATGGTAATTGCCCTACCAGCTCTCTCTATGCTTAAAGACACCCTGGCAAAACTGCATCTTCAGTGATTTCTATCAAATGCTTGGGAGGTTCTTTTTTACTGCATATTTTAATTCAAATACTTTCTCACTGCATGGTTTTTCTTAGGCCAGACATACTTTCAATTAAGCTTGAATCTGTGAAGGCAGACTATTTTGCTCAACTCTATGTTTTCCACATGCTAGCAAACCCACCCTGGAATTTAATGGATAGTAAAGTTATGCAAAGAATCCCTGTGTGCAACAAGATCTGGGACACTGTCTGCTAAGTCCACCTCTAATACAAACATGTACACACACACCAGTAAATGCTATGCATAGAACTTGCTCCTGAATACCTACATCTATTTGCCACATTGTAGAGCAAATAGGCTTTCATTCTCTTGATTAAAATAACAGGAAGTGTCATCATTCTTGAAGTCTTGGTATTTACAACAGAAATATAACCACAAAAATATAACTAGGGAGATTCTTCTGTGGTCTATTGGCAAGGCGTCTGGTACCATCCCTGGCTTGGAATGGAGACTCTGCCTTAAAATGATCTTGCATCTAAAGCAATGCTCAGCCTACTGTGACGACCCAATCCAAGAGGTCTAAAAACATCTGCAGAAGTCCTCTATAATGTCGCCTGAAAGGGGCCTCTGCCTCTTCAGCCAGTCTGGTAGGTCATGGAAATTCTCCTCTTGCAAAAGGAGCTCTGGATACAAGAGAAGTATTTCTTCAGTATTTACTTTGACCTGGGCAGTAGCTATGACAGATTTTTTTTTTTTTTCAAGACACAAAGTGACATTTTAAAGGAGAAACCACTCTTTGGGTGCCACAGAGTCATTAAAAAAATAATATTAGAATAAAGGGTCCAAGGAATGTCTGCTTAAGCACCGTTGCCCAAAGGCTCATATTTCAAGGTAAATTCAGCCACTTTGTGCAGGTAGGGGAACAGGGCTGCTGGGGTTACCTTTTTCTCTTGCTTCTACCGCTTGTACTCAGTGTCAGATTCAAAAGTAGTAACATCCTTTTGGTTCACAGCCCCCCTTTGCCTCTTCCTATGTTAAATGCATGTTATATTGCAATCTCACTCATTTTTTCCTCCATCCATGCTTATGTTTTATTTTCCCAATCAGATCATGAGCTACTCAGGGTCAAGAGCCAGGTCTTGCACTTTTTTACTTCTTGCAGAATTGGGTTTGTTGCGGTCTTGCTTGCAGGAAATGGCTGTTGAACAGATGAATAAATGAAAGAGTGATGGAAACTGGAGAGCGGTGGTAGGTGAGTTGCTAGGCAGCCTGCTAAAGAGGATTACAAGAGTCAGGTCCGATTAGCAGGAGCGGTGTAGGAGGGGAAAGAATGCTGGGTTTTGAGCCAGCAGACATGGGTCCTAGTCCTAGGCTGGCTTGTGAGTCTTCACTTTATTTAACAGACATTTCTTAATTTCTCCTGAGCTGAGTAGGCATTGCAGCAGACACTGAATGTGACAACATCCCTGCCCTCTAGGGGCACTAGCGGTGGTAAGGGAGACATGTAGAGATCGAGAGTTATAGGAGATGTGGGTGATAGGAGATTTGATCTCACGGCAAGTACCGGCACAGGGAAGCAAGAAGAGCCTGTGGTTTCCAGGAAAGCCTCCTGAAGGAGGAACTTCGATTCAAGTCTTGCAGGATGAATGGATGCTGGCTTTTGATTCACTGGTTATCTCTGTGTAGTAAAGGGGCTGGTACATAATGATGCTCTACATCATGAAACAGGACGTTGCATTTGAAAGCTAACGTCTCAGCTGAAGGGTGGTACGGCAAGAGATGAAGTTAGAGAGGTAGATAGTGCCAGCTTGCAGAGGACTTTAGAGCAATATAAGTTAGGGGTGAAGGGTAGAGGGTTAGAGATTAGATTGAACTGAGTTCAAATCTCAGCTCTGGTGCCTTCCAGACAAGTGACAATGCATAACTTTTAATCTCTCCAAGCCCTAGAGCCCTTAAACAGTGTTTCACTGTTTCCATTACCCATTGCTGCACACACAAAAAATACCCCTAAATACAGGGGCTTAAAACAACACACGTTTATTAATTCTTAGTTAGCTGGGTCCTCGCCTTCAGAGTCTCTCAGAAGGCTGCAATCAGAGGCACCCGGGCTGAGGTCAAGACTCCGCTGGAGAGAGAACTGCTTCTCAGCTCGCTTGCAAGGTTGTTGGCAGAGTTCAATTCCTGGCTGGCTGCTGGCCCGAGGCTGCCCTCAGTTCTCTGCTATGTGCGCCTTCCTAACAGAACATCTGGCTTCGTCAGAGTCAGTGAATGTCTGCTAGCAAGACAGAAGGCACAGTCTTATGTGGGCCGGGTCACTGAAGTGACTGCTCAGTGCTAGCGCCGCTCTCTTACTGCTGGATTGTGTGAGGGTCAGCCACGCTCCCAGGGCAAGGCTGGCACAGGCAGTGACACCATGAGCTCTCGCGAGACCCTCTCGCAGCCGACCAGCACCCCTAATGTATGTCTTTGAGCCTTCATTTCCTCTTCGGTAAAATGAAAATACCTGACCCGAGAAAAAAGTGGGAAAATACATGTGCAAGCACAGATAGATTTTTGTAAAAGCAAATTTACCACTCTCTATAGTCTGAGAAAGCAGACTGCCTTGGGCCAACTTTCCATCTTATGTTGACTCTGCGTCTGAGTCCGATGATGTCTTCAAGGGCTTCAGTATTTTGTCCTTGTGGGTCCACCAGGGTGTGTATAGCTGGAATAAGCACCTACAAAGAGAAATTTGTCTTTCCAGACAGAGTCCCTTCAAGAGTTTCCCAGGGTTTGCCTTTGCTTTGCTTTCAAAATACCTTTGCTGGTAAGGAACCCATGGGGGGCGGGTGTCCTGAGAGGGAAAACAGACTACCTGGTAAATTTCAAACCCTTGATAATAAAATGGTAGTAAAATCTCTTCCGACTCCCGAGGCTTCGAAAAGGGGATGTTTATGGCGGATGGGGTGCCCCGCACCCGCACAGCTGCTTTCCGGGTCGCGCGGGTCCCAGTCCTGCTGGGCAGCTCAGGTTACCCGCTGGGCGGCCGCCTTCCAGAGCCGCTCCGAGGGCCGCAGGCGCCAGGCCAAAGGCCAGATCCCCGCTCCCAGGTGCGGCTTGGTGCCACACGGGACGCCTCAGCCCACACCCCAAACCAAACACACTGCACCCCGTCGGATTCGCAGACTTCCCCAGAGCGATCTCCCCGCCCCTGGAGGTACTGATCCGGACAGGCGGGCCCTGCACTGCAGAGCGGCCGAGTCCTCCACGTGGACCCTGCACTGGGACTCCGAGCTTAGGGTTCAGCCCCAGGGAATGCACGACAGTGCTCCTCTTTCCCAGGGCGTGGCCTCAGGGTCAAGGGGTGTCCGGCACCCCATGGCAGGACGTAAACCTCTCGCTGCACCCCACCACACGCCCGCGCTCTGCCTGCCTGGCGCGCATGTCGCGCCCTGGGTCCTCGCCGGCCGTTTGGTCCCGGAGGCGGGGACCCCGGGGCACCCTCGACAGGGGACCCCGGGAGCTCTCAGGGAGCGCAGGACGAGCGCAGGGAGCAGCGGGGCAGCGGCTTAGAAAACGTAATGAGAACCAGATGTGGCGGGCGCAGCGCAACTTTCTCAGAGTTCGCGATTGGTCCCTGGCCGAGGGCGGCAGCCAATCGGCGCGCGGGGCGGGCCCGCGGGGACCCAGGTTCGAGGCCGGTGGGGCTGGCCCGGGCGCGCGGTGGTGGGGCAGCCC